CCAAATCTAATGGTGTTAGTGAGATGTGGATATACTAAATAATTTATTGAGAATACGAAAATATTTTTCAATCTCACATGTAGTTTATGTTTTAACTCGTCAAATTGTAGGTACCACTTGCTTATAAAGATATAAAAATGTCTTTTTGCAATATTTGCAAAAGTACTGTTATTGCGGGTACCGGATTTAATGTAAGTTTTTTTTTCAATAAATCAACTTCATCGGTCATCTATCTTGAGATTGGTAATCTAATAAGAAAGTTTGAATGGCAAGGAGCGTAGGGGAGCACGTGATAAATACAAATTAACGTCATGAGATCACACAGACAGAAAGGTACATAGATCGGTGCTAATGAAAATGTATGAGTCGGAACTATAGCTAGAGATGATGAAAATTTATTTAGATTATACATATTTAAAATATGAAAGTTATATACCTACAGTGCCATTAACTTCACAGTTCATTTATAATTATCAGTTTTATTCTTATAAAAATCTACAACCATTTTTATCTGTAACAGTCTTAGCAGTAGAACAGTTATTAATTACTCAATTTCCATGACATTTATAAAAGCGTACCGAGAAAAATATGAAAGCAAAAGTTATAAATGGAAGGCAGGGAAAACGGAAAAACACCAGCGTTTTAATAAAAAAAAGAGGTGATTTAAAAAGGATACTGTGACGAGCAATTTTTTCATAATAACGGACGAAGATTTTACGCAGTCGTAATTTCACACAAAAGTATTACAAGTAGATTTCACTGTATAATATGGTAAAATTAATGGATAGATAATTATACATATTTTTTATACAACAAATATTTTAGAATTAAATATCTATGCTTGGAGCTGTTTAATTCGAGGGCATTCGTATCTCTTATCAATAGTATGTGTTCGTAATGTATTAATATTTTCATAATTGCTTATAATGACTAACTTCCTCATTGAATCAACCGCACGCGAGGTGTGAAAACGTTTTGATTACCGGAAATTTGTATTATAAATAAAAATATAGACAATGATTTATTCTTAACTGTAGCCATCGGATTTTCAATTTAAATTGAAATTATAATGTTTAAAACGATGATCTTTGGGAAGAACACAAATAATAAAATCTTGATTAAACCCTTCTGCTTTTTCTCACATCATGTAAACATCCATTTTCTTTGGCGTATTATACGAGCTTAATTAATTTGCTTTCACATTTGTGAACAATATTTCGATTCAGTGAATAAATCTCTGCTGAGTTTCTATATGATGTTGCTAAACAAAATTAAGTTTGAAATAGATTTACATACAATGATCTAGTCGTTTAATGTCAATGGAATTGTAGATTCCATTAGGAATTGATCCACTTCCATCTAAATAGTCTTAAACATTTGTATCTACATACACATACAATACTTACAATCGATCTAAACTTTTCTTTTTAAATTTATGACGGTTCATATTACCGTATTCTCATTGTTAGTATTATTTAAATCCAGAATTTCTCTTTAATCAGTGCTTCCAAGCGAAGCCGTATATTATAACATTTACGATTTAAGCGAGACATTAAGCACATCCAGGTATAGCGATGTAGTTCTGGCTCAGCGAGCGGTCCGCACTAAATCCGTACTTAAGTCTTCTTGCTCATGTTGTTTTTCACTTGCAGCTCCGGCAATATAGACGATAAAGTTATCATTATTTAATTTCTACTAAAATCGTTGTAATACTGATTATTCGATTATTGAATTAAGAAATTAATTGTCATTGATTAGTTTCCCTTCCCTCCAAGTTCGTATTTGTTCTAAACATATCCTTTTCTGAACTAAAATATACCACTCCTTAAATAATTTAAATATAATTTTCCTTTAATAATTCTCAAATGATATGTTACATTAGTGGAGTTCCTATTATTATCTGTTTGATACGATACGCTTCAATATTTAAAGTCAATGACTTCGGTCTTGTTTCCTACTAAATGTTCGATACTGGAGTTCGGCGGCTAACTTAAGAAAAGGTAGATCTTTTATAAACAGAGGAGGTATCGTTCGTATAAACATTATCGGATGAATTCTCTTTATTTTGCCACTTCTATAAAAAGAAACGATGCAAACAGAATGTCAAACATTATTCTTAAAAATATATTTGGGTGCGGATGAAACAATGGGTCTAGACTACGGACTGTGCACCAAAAAAGTAGTCATGACATTTCTTTTGTATTTTTATGATCTAGCTTTTGGAAGCCGCTTCAATTAATGCATGATTTAATTTTGATGTTACTTTTTAACAAAGAAATTAAATTACGTACTTTAAATGTATAAATATTGAATATACTTAAATAAAGATTTTTACTTAATTTAATAAAATATACTAGGAACTGCAAGTTACGTGGAGTTAAAACCGCAATACATTTGTTAGTTACTCCCATAGTGTATCTCAGAATAGCTTGGGTGACTTTCACTAAAACGGACCTTTCAACCACAATGAATCACACTAATCTAAATTTTTCCCCTTTGACATCTCACGAGCAGTTTAAGGCTTTAGCTGAGATCCCTTTATTTATCCGTTGTCATACATATGCAGGTATATATGCACACACGTACACGCACACAACAATACAAAGGTATGATGCCGGCGTTGTCGGCTTAGGTGAGAGGCTCATGAATTATTTAGACGTGTAGGCATCGTTTATCGGAATTTCTCTTGTAAATCTTAAGTAAGTTAATACGTTATGAGATCTTATATCGGTTAAGACTCAATGCATTTAGCAGAATTCATGCGAAATTTTAGTATATCATATGATTGCATATTATAAGGTACCTAATATTTCAAATAAAAATTTGATTGTTTGTTCTTAGCGAGTTTTGTACAAAGCATTAAATGCCTACAATGTTATAATGTTTAAGAAAAATGCGAAGACAGAAGAATACTTTACATTACATATATTAAATTTATAAATAATATGTAGTATTGTAGTTTTCTTATAACTCCGTACAGAGAAATTATTGTAAAAACCTATATGATTTTAGTTGGGGACCTACTAAAACACGTTTCTGGACAGGATTTTTGAACAATGCAAATTAAAAATTCTTTTCAAACGGAAGAGCTTACAATTATATAAAGAGCGACTCACGATTGAGTTGTTCCGTCATAGTAAACAATGTATTATAAAACACGATATTTGATAGTTCAATGAAGCCGCTCATTATGAATGGGTTTTGGAATCGGACGTAACTGTCACAATAGGTTATTGTACGTTTTTTTACTTTTATGAGTTAATCTAGTTTGTAAAATCCAATATTTTCATTTTATTATATCAAAAGCAATCGACATGCACCATTGAACTAAATTTGATTGCGACTAACGCTAGCCCACAATTGTTTTGAATTACTTGAATACTGATCCAATGATTACTAACTGTGTATTTAAAACAGCATAATAATTTTCAACTTCATTCTACATTTGTGGTAAAACAAAAATTTTAACAGTTCAAAAGATCCTCATTACAGTATGATATAGTTGTACAATATGTATATAAAAATGAAAATGAGTCTTTAGTAGACGTACTTTATCATTAATTAGTCTGGTTAGAAATCAATACTAGTTTTATATATGTTTATGTTATTGAGAGCTGAATAGCTCCGCATAACATAAACATAAATAGCACAGAATCACATATTGTGCTCACAAAATACAACAATCAACCGCGACTATACGGTCAGTGCACGGTTGTGTTCTCTTAGTGGAAATTGGTTAATGCACTCCAATGAATCTATCGGGTCACATGGCAACAGATTATTATTAAAAGCAATTAAACTAACTGCATACACTGTCATTTTTATTTGTATACTTTATAACTTATTTATATTAAATTCAAAATGTAATAAAAAAGTTTATTGGAAATTTTGCCTGGTGTACATGTCTTTCAAGCTAAAATGATCGCTCCCTTCACATGTCAAAATGTGAATATCATTTTAGGATTAACATATTAAAAGGTTAACGAACCATGAGCTCTGCGACACCGTAATCATTTTTTTGCCTTCAGTTCGGAGACGATATCTTTCGGCCCCCCTTTCAATTTATTAACTTAATTGTTGATTGTTACAACAGAACGATCTCTGCACACAACCATAAAATGTTTAAAGTAAATACACTCACGTCTTTAATGCATTAAATTATACCTTGAATAAATGTACCTTTCGAAAGTATAAAAAATAATTTATAAAGGAGTCCAGACTTGTCTTACAACTTGACCTTTGGAATGCTGACGAGAATCGATGGCGTACGATGGTATTTGTGGCTACAGCACTGAGCGCTCTGAATATACAAGCCTCCAAGATAATGCAAAATATTTCCTTTGGCATAAAGTTGACGGCCCGATCAACCATAAAATCCGTAACTTTGTTAAAGTACTTATTGATATCGATAGGAATAAAAATTTATAAAAATATTACAAATAATATTTACAAATTAATAATTGCATTTTTCTGATCATCATTTCATCATTATTTGATATTATAATCTTTTAATTTTTAATTCAGTTATAACTATAGTTCAGAAATTTGAAAATATTTAGATTTATTTTTTGAATTTAAATTATGAAACAGTGTATTTATGGAATGCAATCCTATTAATACATTTCATACTATTTCACATAAATTTTAACAGGATTTATTCAAAATCGTTTCATAGTTCTTACAATTTGTAATACAGTTATCAAATTCTAAAACGCGGCGGAGAACGTGCCGTTTTGATTTTTGGCATTTCGGAGATTCAACTGAAATTGTTAGTTGCAACTACCTCCAGTATTGATTGTCTTTTGACTTATTAGTATGAATAATTACATAATTTAATATTTAGACTTAGAAAGGAATCGTTTCATCTACATGTTAATTTGTTATAACATCAAACCATTTTTCGTTTATAAATGAAGTATATGCAGTGAAGTGACAAAAATGTGTGTGACAAAATTATGTGATATAATTTTTAAGTGTTAGTACTTAAATAATTATTAGCCATGGGTAATACAAATTCGGGGCAAGGACATTCACGTCATCACAACAAGAGTAGGAAGTCGAGGAGTTTGCCAACTTCGCCAGAAGTGAGAAGGTAATATAATATGCGCATATTTATACAGGTTCTGTAGTAATTTATGATACTATACTATAGGTAGAATTATATGTATATATTTTTATCTACAAGGAGATCTAATTAATACATATATACTTTTAAGTTTTCTATCTAGTGTTATATATAACAATTGCTTGCGAATAAAATATATAAAAATGTGTTCTATATTGTCAGCAAAAGAAATATATTTCACTGAATAAACTGAAATTGGAACACCTTGTTAGTAGGGTTCAGTCAGTCTAAAAATATTTACGCCCGATTTAAGTCGCAGTCCGTCTATCTTTCATGTTAGCTGATCAATAAAAGGATAATCTTTGATCTCCGCCTGTTATCCGAGCTCGTAAACAATATATTTTTCTTTATATGGAGTTAACAAGAAAAAGAAAAGATTAATGTAAAGCGAAGGCTGAGAACGTATCTTTGGATAGACTGTAAACGATATCAAATTATATAACATTGAATATATGGGACATTTTAATAGTGTATGAAATAAATATTCGTGACCAAACGAAATCCAATATAAATAATATAAACAAATATTGATGTTTTTTCTGATGTATGCACGTTTTTAAATTAAACTTCCCGCACCGTCGCCTGCTCTAAAACGTCAGCCTTAATTTCCGAACCAAACCGCCCCGGAAGCGAATGTCACCTATGTCACCTCAACTTTAATAAACTGCGGTCGCGGTATTATACCGATATTGCATATATATAATATATTTTTCGCTTCCCTATTGAATATTTGAAATCACACAGTTAGGTGAAATAATAGTTAGTTAAGAGATAATATATAGAACTTCTTTCAAATAGGATGTTTGAATAAGGTATAACAAATTGTAGTTTAAATGAAATCAACCTTTATTAATATTATTTTGTTACGAGGAAAGCGACTTTATTAACACTTGCTTTGACGATGCCTATGATAGTTATAGAATTGTTATAAAAAACACATATAGTGTCTTCATGCTCGAAGGGAAGTATATAATAGTTAGACCATAACAATTGAGATCAGAATCAATGGACCTGATAATTAAATTGAGTTTAATTGAATAACGCGACACGATAAAATAAAATGTAAGAGTAACAAACATATAAAAAGTTTTAACATTAATAAACAGAAAAATAAACCTTGTTTGTTAATATTGCTTCTCATAATAAGATAATTCGTATGGTTTTTATCAATACATGTTGTTATGGAGTATAAAGTTTCATTATATAGGTTGACGTAAAGTGCTTGGTACTTTATAAGGTTATTAATATTAATCATTATTATTAGACTGGTAAGTTGTTAGTATCCTTTGTATTACGCAAAGCCCTCTCGCAGCACAATGCGCCCGCGCCAGATGTTCATTGTTTTGATTCGAATCTTATCGTTCTGATCAAAGGGCCCTAGTAGAATATACTAAAGACATTCTCACCAAAAAGTGCGTCTATGGTTTCTCGATAAGGACAATATCATATTAAAGATACCAAAAATATGCGTGTCGTGTTTGTTTTAAATTTTTTAAGTGTTTTATACATAATTTACCGAATTAATGCACTGTATTATTGCTTAATTTTATCGCCTCAACACGAATATCATTTACTTGTCGGTAATAGGTTGATCTTTAGAGCGCCATCTAGTGTGAAGTAGCAATATTGTTTTGACAAACGTAGGTGTATGCGCATGCAATATGAATATGAAAACTATACTTGAAGAGCTCCAAGTGTCGCCAAGTAGCTGTTAAAATGATAATAATGTAAAATTGTCAACTATTTATGGAGCAACATAACATTAATATTTTTAAAATGTGTTAGTGTTACATGCTTTTGGGCTAGAAAATTGATAACCATATAAGAATGGATAAATGGAATTGATAGCAATAGAAAAAGAACTTTTCAATTTTCATAAGTGAATCGATTTGATTAAAATTTCCTTTTAATATGAACAGAGAAGCTCAGAAAAAGTCATAAACAGTTTTTGGACGATATCGATCTTAGAAGATATCGGTGTAGCTGGCACATTCACTACTAAAATAATTTTATACTATTTAACTGTGATGGTTTTGTTTAGGTTGAGAACGATATTTATATTTTCAAAAGTTTTGCCTGACAAAAAAAATCTGGTAATATTTCTACAGTAGGTATAGCTCCCTAACAGTAAATTCATAAAATTTCAGTCTTATTTTTAACCTCTCATTTAATCAAATTAGTGGGTAAGTGGGTAGAAGAATAATATTTAGCATATTGACCTAATTGAGAATAATTTTATTCTTCTAATGAAAAATTCTGAATCGCGTTTGTAATTTCATTTTGGCAACAAAATATAGAAATATTTTTGTCCAAATGAAATAACAAAGTAAATTGTTAGTTATATAGTTTATTTGAGTCAGCTTCCGAGCCAGTGGTTTATTGTGAATTCGTGATCACGAACCAGTGCTACCTACTCGTATACACTGTTTATATTTTCAGATGGAATTTTATAAGAAAGACCAACAAAAGTGTTAGTTAACTTACAAAGGGTATTGTAAGCTGTAACTGGCTTGGAAATAAATTTCCCTGTTATTAGGCTCCTGTATCTAAACCACCAGAATAAAATGGAAAATAAAATAATTTATATTAAAAATAAAAAATATAACCCGTTTATATAATAAAATATGTAATTGATAAAATAAGCTTACGTAAATATTAAAAATCATAATATTTTTCTCCATATAGGTATTTTGATACCAATTGAAATCATTATGGATAAAATCTTATTATTTTAAGCATGACCTAGTGTTCTTATATATTTTTTAAATTTAATTTACTTAATTAATCAATGAATAAAGCAGAACTTTACAGTTTTTAAAATAAAGTTTAAGGCGTATTTTTCTCAAATGCATAGTTAGATCGGAGTAATGCTATGAAAATATTTTCTAAGCGTAATTGTATCTAGGAATTTAATATTGTATTAGTAGGTAAAGGTTGTCACCGCCATATGAGTGGTGTGAAATAGTAATCATGAAGTGTGTTTATAGCAAAGCAAATTTTACACCTATATTACGCATTTCATAAAAATAGTTTAATATCAGTTGCTTTGTGGAATCATTTGTGTTCATTACGAAATTTATTTAAATTATGTTAAAACAAAAGTCGATTTCTACATTGAGGTATTGTTGTGTTGTCATCAGGTTAGGGACAGAGATATTCTAAAAGGATTCCCAACATGAAAAGATACGATTACGTACTGAATTCGAAGATTCCGTGTTCGTTAAAAGAATATTCGATTAGCTTCACTAGTGTCGTTGAAGAGTTATATGCATCTGTTATTTTATTGAATGTGTATATCTGATTATTTTTGCTCTTCCAGACAAGTCTCTGTTCTGCAGACGTCGATTCCTCTGCCGGCGTCTGCGGCGGCGGTGAGACGCGCTCCACCCGACAAACGACCTCTGCCAGCGACCCCTGTACACGGTAAGATATAAAATATATTTAATTTTTAACGTAATAATATGATTAATTAAAACTCAAGTTCCTACGAGTGTTGAAATTCATCGATGTTTTGACTGTCGGCATTTGCCAGTGTTCATCCAAACGTGTCCTATCAATAGACACTTCGATAGTCTACTATCGATCGGCAACGTTAGTTTGTACTACCTTTATACCCTAGTACGTGTATGCGACATTTATACAATGTTAAGATGAATGAGTTAGGTATTTGTTATTTACCCTAACTGTTACGTACGGCTTCGCCCGCATGTTACACTCCTCTTTAGATACGCGTTATCATTATTACGAGGATTCGTTGAATTTCCGGCAGATCCTTCAATCAGATCTTGACCTTGTGACAGTAGAATACCTGAGCACAAAGCCCTTTCCAAAAACCAAATAATTTTCAAAAATTGGCCTTTAATTGAAAAGCGTACCAAACAATATTTCCATTGTGAAGTCTTCTTAAAGGGGTCTAAGTTACGCCTCACGACATTACCTAATTTATCTGCTAGTGAAGTGAAGTCTAGCTTCTCCACAGATTCGCTGGAACAAACAAATAAAAAAATAGAAAAAAATTAAAGTTGCAATCTTGCTGTTGGTGTCGTTTATCCTTTTATATTCGTGTAACGAAAAGGCTGTTTAATTGGTATTACAAACTTATACTTAAATTTTATTTATAAGCATAGATAAAAATAACTCTTCATATGTAGATCTAAATAAGTAAACATATTTTTATATGTAAACATTTTTTTATAAAATTAAGAACTTACACTTGTTTAATGAACCAGCACTTGAAAGGTTTTTATGAATATAATACTATAAATTCTATATAATACCCGATTATTAAATTATTTGTGTACTATTAATATAATCGCATATAAACGTGAAATGTCTTTTACAACCATTTTTAAGTTTTAAGCTTTAACGGCTATATTGTAATCATCATAATTATAGTAAGAAGTATTTGTAGTTTCAAGTTTTTAATAAAATAAACTATCATTTGTATACTACCATATAGTATTGTTGAACTAAATTCTATAACAATATTTCATAGTATAATGTGAATGTCGTTGAAAGTTGTAGCCCCAATTGATGTTTCATCGACATTCGGACCGGTCAACTATTTCATTTATTACTCATAAAGTAAAAACGACCACTCAAATTGAACGGAGATCGGAGCAACAACATACCTAAAGCTTTATTCACTTTTCCGCTTATCCCGATGAGTGGAGTATAGCCCATTTATTGTCCGGTGCTAAAAGAGCAGCGTTCTTCAGATACGTCTTGAGATAAATATCGGTTGTTGTAAAATTTTGTCATATAACTTCAATTTATGAAATTAGATAGGATTTAGTATCTCGATTAAATAAAATTTAAAATATGTAGATAATTGCAATTCTACATAGACCTTATAATATTGTTATATGAACATAGAAATATAAGATTTTAGTTATTACAAAAAAAAAAAATTAAACTCGTTTTATTTTAACCTGTATTAATAATAATCTTTTTCGTTATCTGCACATTTGGAGTTTTATCTAGAAATTTTAGGTTCAAATCCACTCGCGTCAATAACATGTTCAATCACTATAATGTTTTGAATTTTAATTACAATATAAGTTTAATACATTAGATATAAAGTAAGCGTAGCCATTCAGTAAAAAGTGAGATCCCTTGTTAAACATTAAAGAATAATTTGTATAATACGTCTCGATTGTTATGTCTCATGAATGATCTTCAGTTTATTGTGATGTTTCACGATCGTGTGGCCCTCAGATAGATGCATCGTCAGTTAATGTGCACTTCTCGAGGAGAACACTACTTGAACAGGCGCATTTCGAATCCAAGAGGATTTTCAAATTAAATTTTAATTGACGTGGCTTATAAAATTAGTATATGTTTTATTTATTAAATTATTATAAATGAATATTTTAAGTGTTTGAAGTTTTTAAAATGTGTAAGTGTTATTATAAGTATTTTAAAAAATGATTGAAATAAATACGAAAAGATCAAATATAATTAAGCATTATAGAACTGATTCAGAATAATCTCGGGATGGAAGAGATAAGCATTGTAAGTTATTTATAGATAGGACATGTGTGAATAATGTTTGTTTTGTACTCCTTATTTTGAAACATAAATGCACCAATAACAGTTTATTAACACTTTATATGATAATTAAATTATAAAATAAATTTCAAAGTAACAAAATATATATATTTATTGGTTCAAATGTATATGTGTCTTAATATATGTATAATATATTTTTTATCATAATATTATATCCTTTACTGTAAGTCTAAGAGAAACATAATATGGGTCATTGTTAAAGATGCGTTGCATCTGGTGATTCATCGCTTTCTCCAGACAGATTCCTTGCTCATTTACAGCACACAATAATGAACGCTAATTTCGGTACATAAATAATTTTTATACTCTCACTTAGCAATTAAAAGCGGCTCAAACATTTGTAAATTTATCCAAATATTTGAATACACTTCGTTGAGTAACGTGGATAAAACGAGAGATTATATTTTTATGGTAGTCTAGATATTATTCACAATGACTTTTGTGATGGATTGGCGAATAAAGGACGGATGCTAGTCTTGATTGAGATCGCTTTGATGACGACAGACTTCCTTCTAACTCCTGTTAACATTTCTATAGAAACATAATACAATATTTTTTATATATTTATATGTGCGCTATCTATAAAACAATGTTTTTATTAATTATTGTTAAGAAAAATGAATTTCAAACAACTCCTTATGTATTTGTAGTACGTCATAAGAATCATTACTTAAATAGTAAACAATTGTTACCAGCAAACAATGCTGCATTGAATTTTGATTATAGCATTCTTAAAACGCAAATATGTATGGACTGATTTAATATTTGTAGATATTAATATATATGCATAAACGAACTATTTACTCAATAAGATAACTATAATAATACTGCCTAATATAGTCACAAATAAAGTTCGTGCATTACTATCATACGAAATTGGGTAAATCAATAACAAAAATAATATTTAGTTTATTCCCCTATTGTCTTTTTGAGGGTCAAACAGGGGTTGTGCTTATGTCCGTGACGTCATATTGTTATTACTTTTTTAACATTGAACAGATCGATATGTTAAACCATATATACAAGATCTCTCGAGCTGCTTAATGACATAGTGTGCAAAACAATTTATATAGGGTCTCATGTGGAACCCTAGTTCAATGTAAATTTGATGGTACCATGAACATTTCTGTTGACCTCCCTATCAGTGCATTACTTGCGTAGCGCGGGCCACCCGTGTCGTATTTATAATATAAAAGTGTTCGTATCTTTGGAATTGACAGACGACGATAAAATTAATTTATCGTAATGACCTTTGAAGTTTTTATTCTTATAAAAAGTACAGTGTAGTAATTTAGTTCTGTTTGTTTATTTTTAGGAAAGAGTGGGCTCTCAGCGAGCTCAAGTCGGTCAACAAGTCCTCTTGGTCAAGGAGCAGTAAGTTTTATACCTAGGGCGCCTGCATCTTCTTCTGGGTAACTATTCTGACTACTTTAAACTTTACCAAAAGATAATAAAATAAAATTAGCTTCTTTCTGAATTAATTTCTGTAAATACAGTTTTTAAGTTAATGATTTTGTCACTGTGGATATATTTTTTTACAAATATTGCATTTTTTTTCAGTTCTAGACCTAATTCGTCGTTGCTTGCACCCGGTAGCAAAATTCCTTCGACCTTAACCCAACCTCAACATTCTCAAAACACAAGTCATCAAAATGGTGCTCCAAATAAACAGTCCATGCTAGATAAGTTAAAACTCTTTAACAAAGACAAAGTTAGTAGTGAAAAACAAAGCAGTAAAAGCACTGCGGTTTCAAAACGTACAAGTTCATCAAGTGGATTCTCATCAGCCAAAAGTGAGCGATCAGATTCTAGTTTGAGTCTTAACGAATCTGCAAATGCTACAAACACACATATCAAATCATCTAGTTTGATAGGACCTAAAAGTGTCAGACCACACAATGATACATTAACAAAAGATAGATCGGGTAAAAACGTGAAATCTAAATTAGTAAATTCGAAGATTGTGAAGGAATCATCGACAAACTTAAATAAATCAAATATAAAATCAAGTAATGAAAAGTCAAGAAATAGTCCAAAATTACCTGCGCGTGACAAAGAATCGAGGTTGGCTGCTCCAAAGTCGGTTAGTAATACAAAACTAAATCAAATAGAGGACCATTCAAAAAGTCCAAAGTCGAGACTGGAGTCAAAAATGGTGAAATTGTCTGGGAGTCAAATGAAACTCTCTGAACGGACTGAGAATAGTGACGTTAAAACTTATGAGAATACTAAGAATCATTCTCATCAAATACAACCACCTTCACCGACTAATGCTTCCCAAGTGCCTCTTCAAAATCAGACAGGTATTCCTAAACCTACTGCAGCAGTAAAAGGGACGACAAAAATATCAAAAGATGAAAAACATGGTATCCATAAAAGTGCAAATAGTCAATTAAGTCCTATTCAAAGTAATTCTAGCTTAAACTCTACCAACAATGTCAGTGCTCTTCCGTTCTCTAGAGAACAGTCGAATCTGAGTAAGGAAGTAAATCAGAAACAAACTCTCGCCGTCTCTCCTATGCCTGTTATAAACAGTGGCAGTCAAAATCCACCATCCCAAATGTCTGAGAGTTCGCATTCAAATTCAACACATAGTACCACTGGCCAGCAATCTAACTCTAGTGATGGCAGTGTCATATACCGCCCATCAAGTGAATCAGGATCTGAAATTTCAAAAGGAAGCAATTTAGTGTGTAACAAAAGACTAGATATGAATACAACATATATCAATGACGTTATAAATGAAGCAGAAATATCAGAAAAAGAAGCTGCACAAAAACGAACTGCTGATAAGCCTAGTCCCAAGCCAATGTTTGATGCTAATAAAACTCTTACGGAATATGAAAAGAACGATAGTCGTTCTAGTACCCCATCTCACTGTAGGGATAACTCCCTGGGAGAAGATGAAAACCCCTTAATGAATGTTCTACCGATGAGGCCTTTGCTCAGGGGATATAATAGTCATTTAACTTTACCAATGAGAACAACTGGGTTGGCGCAAAAAAATATACCTGGATATCCTCATCATGCAAATACTGTCAAAGCTAATTTTGGTAGGGATAATATGGCATTGCGTGAGCGAATAAATTATGGCCCTGGATTTTCTAACCCCGACTATTGTGACCTTGATATTGCCTCTGGTTACATGTCCGACGGGGATTGTCTGAGGCGAATAAATGTAAATGAAATGGACTGTGAACGTAATAATGATATTATGGATGGATATATGTCAGAAGGTGGAGCGTCTTTATACGGCCGGAGAATGAATTATCAACAATCATCACAGTTCCAGCAACTTGATGAGAGGTATGTATTTTTTATACATTTATAGCATTTATTTATATAATTTATTTAAAATTAGAGAAAAGTAATTTTAAAAGTTGGAAAGCCTTTATTCTAAGTGAGTTTAGTGTTCTGCTGGTACAAATTAAAACAGTCCCTACAGGCATAAGATATATTGCCGCGTTGGGAACTCACAAGTAACGTTTGCGCTTTTATGGCGACGATGCTTGCGGAACAAAAGGAGTTTTAAAGAAATTATTTCTCCCTTTTAATGTTTGAAAAGTAAATTTACGTTTTAGTATGAGTCTACATTTTAAATGTAGAGTATAATAGGGCTTCCGTTCATAATGTTGTGTTTTCAGACGCTTTCCACTATAATTGCACTTAACTCATAATGGTTCTTGTATTAATAACCTCAGTAGATGTATACGTAGGAACTATTTAATACTGGATCAATATTCTTTATTCGGAAAAGTTGTATCACACAATCCACAAGTGGTCGGCCCACCCTCACTTTCAAACATATGGCAACAATGTTTGTATGCACGTACCTAGTTAAATAAACGTATTTAATGCATAGCTGAATTCTTTATACTGAACTTTTCATAAAAATATTATTTTGTTTATCTAAAAATAAATAAAATGTTTCCGTCAACAAAAATAAAATCACTTTAGATTTTACTCTGAAAAGTATAACAGAAATATAAACTAATTATTATTGTTTTGGAGTAGTAAATGTTGTACTAGACTCTTTTGGCGTAATATGAACATTTGTTTTTATTAATATACTCTCAGTATTCCGTGTATCTTCCAACGAGGACTCGCATGCCCATAGCGCACTCACACTGTCGCATCGTTAGGGGAGAGGGCGAGGTGGCCAAAATCGATATTCCTACGTCTCACACCGACCCCCGCGCGTATTTACCACGCCTCGACCCTAACCACCCACAATACTAGCTTACCAATCAGGACCTTAACTGTCATGACATAAAATTCTTCTTCGTTCACACACGAATTACAATTTTATCGTTTGTTGCAAAAATATTTTAAATCAACTATTTAATGGATTTTACTGATGATATTTACTTTACTACATATATACCATATTTGAAATTTTAATTAAATAATTTTTACGGGTCCACCGATGGTAGATACGAAATGAGAAGATGTCGATTTTAATGGTATAGGTTTAAGTGATTATGTAAATCGTTCGTGAGTCGGTGAGGTCTGATAGTCCGGTAGGGGCAGGGCGGGCGGCACTCGGCGCCGCGCACTCCGGGCGTGCGGCCGCGCCGTACCGCCCGACCATAACACGTGACAAACTTTTCCCGATTTTCCGTACGGAATGTAAATCCGTAACCGGCATCGATCGACCGTCGTGAGACGCACGCTCGGCCGATTGTCGATCACAGCTGGCGCCGTTCATCTGGACCGCGCTCACAAAGACTTGACGGGAAAGGACTTGTGAATCCTGTGAACTGCTACCGATAGCTCGTCACTGTTGAAGTGTGTTCTAGGTGTTGACTGTGCGCTGTGCCTTGTACCGTTTGATCATCTGAGCGGGAATTTTCAAAAGACATTAATTAGAATATTTCTATTTATGCTACGATAATAATTTTGCAGTCATTAGTGTAAGGATAAGTGTTGCCTTGCTATGTGTCTTCGCTTCGCTGTAGACGTTTAATATACAACGGTGCTTGAACTTTTATACGCGTAGATAAATAATCCTTTTGCATTAGAAAATATAAAAAAATATTATATGAATTTTTTACGTGATCAAAATATGAAGACGATTCGAACATAATTGGTAAGATGTAATGCTATTATTAAACTTCATATTAATAAAAAACATGAGGCAATAAACTCTGTCAGCATCTGGAATATTGCGAAGTCAATGAATTGTGTGTGACATGTGGTCACCAATCCTAGCCGTAAGTAGCTAACTACTATTTAGTCAAGATCAAATTAATATTAAATTATTCTATTAAAATTTTTGGTACAACAACGGCTATTTTATGATATTACGTTTCAAGGCAGTTGATCGAAGGTTATTGCTTCGGTGTTTGTGGGGTCCTGAGTTGGGGCGGAAATCCCTAAGCCCGAGCAAAATAACATCTATTTCTAAACCGACCTATAGTTATTTTATTATATAATTTACCTAAATATTTATTTACTCCTATAAATTATTATCAAAATTTGTCTTACATAGATAAGTAAACTTGATACTATAAACTTTTGCATGCTTCAAGTTGAAAACTTGGATACGTATTCTTTAAAGATAAGTTTTGCCACTTACGTCTCATTTAAATTAACCAATCAAAATATGACCAAAGAAAACAAATGACTCGCAAGAAAGGTCGGGTGTAACGATTAAATAAAAGTGTATGCTCCAGGGGCTAGTGGTAATATTGTTTGCATGTGTTGTGTTCGCGTGTAGGGGCGAACTGTTAGTGAATCATGGATTCGATTGTTTTGTTCAAGTACCTCGTCTGCTTCAAATCTCTAAACGAAATTTCTTTTTCCGCTATTTTCCATATACCTACGAATATACTTGATACGAATACAGTTTACTTTTAAAAATAATTGACAAATTGACTAATTCTAAGAAGTTTTCTAGTATCATCTTTAAAAATAGGCTTGGATTGATTAAAATTAAGAAATCAGAAATAATTAAATATATATTAATAATTATTTAATCTAATGAATGGACGAATAGTGTATAAATTTATATGCTTGGTGATGTTATTATGTAGATGATATGTTAGTAAATATTCCACCATTGTGGGCTCCAACAATACATGTGAACACCATAATTGTCTTTTCAATTGAAGGAAGCTCTATAAGTTCGTACATAATGCTATCAAGAAGAATGGAAGGTAATATGTTAAATATAAATCATTGGGATTTTGTTCAATGAAATCACATGTCTAGTTATAAATTTCGGACCACTAAATTCGTTATAGTTTTACCAGTCTGCGACACAGCATAAAGCTAAATTTAAAATCCTGCTGTAAAGATAATTATAAAAAGTTAGGTTCTTTCTTATTTAAATTATAAATGCACCTTGGTTAAAGGCTGCTATAGTATAATTAAAATATCTGATATAATAAGTCTTTATATATTATTGTAAGTATCAAAATTTGTTAAACATTTTGTTGTAGTCCTATAATAATACATGGGTTACTAATGAGGAACTTTGAATTGGGAGACTCTAAAATACGCGATGGTTCGCAAAGTTTGTGTATTTCGCATGAAAAGCTGGGAGTGTAATGAGAGCCTGGCTGTGAAATGGAAACGAAAGAACAATAAGACCTTCGCGTCGTATCCAAATGATAAAACAATGAGGCAATCGTCTTCTTTTTATTTCTTAATCTGCTATTATCAAAATATATTCCTCTTGAGATTTGTATAGACTTATCTAGAGAGATAAAAATATTTATATACATAAGTTATAAAAATATTTATATTTTATACGCTTAAAAATAAAAGTTCTAATAAGTAAAGCCTCTAGGATTTTAGATTTTGAATTATTTTTTTTAACTTTCTCATACCAGTTCGCTTTTTTGACTATACTACTTGAAGTGGACAATATTACCCATTTAACTTTATTAGATGAGAAATGAATTTTATCAAATAGTATAATTGGAAAAATAAAATGCTTGGCTTGGTTTGTTGTAATACTTATATTGTTTGAATTTTCAATAGTTTTTGATTTTGTATTAAACTAAAGTTTCATTATGGCATGATGTTAAGACGAAAAAAAGAAGATACTATTTGTATGACCGTAATTTTTACGAGAAGTTCGTATCTGATTTAGGATAAGGTTAAAAATCTTTTGATAGATAATATCACAGTCGAGCTGAGTTACTCTGTATAGTAAATTTCTCCATGATCATATTTGATAACGTAGAACATTCTTGTATTAATTACCTGTTTTTTGGGGATTTTCAGAAAATAGATGTAATACAATAATTACAAGTGGGGTCGGATAGACGAATTCAATATTCTCAAATAAAATCCAATAACAATTATCCGTCATTACTACCGCCAGGAAATCGTGAGGAAATATGTATATGATAAATTATGCTTAAAGAAAAAATCGCGATAACGAGAACTGCTCAGTTTACATAATGAGTATGAAGGGTAGAAGTTCCATTCAGATCTGTCATCATTAGCAAGGGCTTCAGGCGCGAAGGTTTCATTAAGACGGCACGTAGTAACAATAGGGGAATTGACATACCTTATGGTTATACTCCAGACTGTAGAGCAATTTACCGTAATGCATTGCACTTAATGCTAGAGTTTATTGAACGTCTATTAAACGGGCACTAGACTACAGGGATAAAGGTAGTAAGCGATTTATTAATATTCAAGATGTGACTGATCATATTGTCTACTTGTTATTCTACACACAACTTTGAAAACTATTTGCTTAATTTTTGCAAATAAACTTAGACTATCTGTATGGCATTTGAAAATGAACGTATGTTATATTTTGTATATTATATTTAAGAGTGTGCGGAATATCTTTTTCTATCTGTTTTATGTATTTGCCTCGACACTATTACACTTTTGATCCTTGAGCTTAAAGCGTTCTATGAGGGAAGTTAGCATTAGTCGGCTTAAAACAAATCGGCTTAAAGCATTAAAGGCTGTTTCGAGTGTAGTAGTGCCATATCAAACAAAGGTCAGGATAAATGTGTGTTGACTGTATTTCTGTGCAAACATTGGGCTGAAACTTCAAAAAGACTGAAAAATGTTATATATTCAATGTTTTCTTCACATATTCATTTAAAAAGAAACATAGCAAAACTGAACTTTTCCTTTGTTCTACTCGTAAGTAAAGAAGCTTACGTAACTTCTCCCAAGTTACACACAAACTTCTTATTCCCATTCCGAAAACGAAACATAGACCTTTTTAATTTCAGTTAATGGATGTTAGAGTTTGATGCTTCACGTTCCTTTTTGCTGTTGTTGCTATTTGGTAACAAGAAATTTTCTTTCTAATTAAAGATAGAAATGAACTATTAATTGGAAAGTCAATGTAAGAAGTTCAAATTATACCTATTTATAGTAACTGTACTAAAGCGTATACTATTAAATAAATAATTGATACTCATTAACGATTGAAGTTCTGAACAAATATTTATAACATCTTACAGTATATATCTTATAAGAAATAGCCTGAAAGTAAGGGAATTTCATTAAAATTTTAGACAAATTCTTCACGATGTTGTCAGAGTTGGAAAGAAATTAATAAAATTTAGACGCATTGCCGATTCATTCATTATTTATACCCTTCAATCAATTATAGTTCTGTTAACATAAGATTTAATTTAATTTATGATATTTTAAATAAACTTAATTTTTCAAAGAGTAAGTGCTTTAAGAAGGTCGACTTAAATTAGATTTATTTTATTAGCTGCGTTTCTATTGACTAAAAGGCTATATCAGTGCAGATTGCTTCTTTTATTGTTAAATAAAATTAGTTTTTTTCCAGTAAGATGTCTGTTAATATAATTTAATAATTATTATATTACGGAAGAGTTGTTTCTCTTAAGGACTTAGACTGTTCCTGGACCTTTATTGGTTATGAGACATGAAATAAGGAATGATTGATGATTACACAGAATAAGTTCCTTATTTTCTTTAATTACGTGCCGCATTTTCAAACCCTTTATGGAGATTGTTTGAGATAATGCTATCTTGTATAAAATTTATGGCATAGTATTGACAGCGCTGCTCGATAATCATTATTATATATAAAGTATAGGGATTATATTAATACTAGCTTTCCGCCCGCAGCTTCGCCGCGTGGAGTTCGGTTATATCGCGTTTCCAAGAGAACCTTTCAAAAGTCTGGGATAAAAACTATCCTATGTTCTTTCTCAAGGTCAACTCTATCTCTGTACCGAATTTCATTAAAATCAGTTCAGTGGTTTAGGCGTGAAAGCGTAGCAGACAGACAGACAGACAGACAGACAGACAGAGTTACTTTCGCATTTATAATATTAGTAGGGATTAATAAAGTGAATTATCTACAAAGTATTATGCAGTAGTATAATATAATATTTATAAATATATTGCAGTGGACTTTATTTCTTTTGATCTTGATATATGTTTATTCTTTTTATGTGGCATATTATTATTATTATTTAAATTACAAATTTTAAATTAGAGGAAATAATATAACAGTAATGGTATAACATATAAAATTATTAGATATTTAATTTTTATATACCCAAATTATCCCAAAACGAGACCCGCTAAAGCATTCTCTGTTAAACAACTATCACTATTGTTTAGATACGTTTCGTATTTTGATTTTAATATAAAGCATCTCAAAGTAGGCCAGAACATGTTGCACGTTGTGAACACCCTTTATCAGCTATATCAATTGCCTTTGTTCCTCCCTAGGCTCAGAACTCTGCAGACCCACTTTCATTTCAAACAAAACACACTTTTTAAAAAACAGACGCTTCGTAATCCAGGCAGCAACCCTTTAGAAATATGCATTACATGAGCAGTTGAGCAAAAATTATTTTTTTACTATTAATACTTCAAGTATACATACAAATATGTTACATATATTCTTATAAATAAATTGAATTGATTTAATTCATAACAAGTTAATTTCAAATTTCGTTTGTGATGTTTAGATATTCTAGTTTTCAGTTTTTAAATATTTTCTGTAATGTTTGGCATATTTAAATGTCATATTTCTGATTTTGTATATATAGTATGAATCATGAAGGGGTAGCGTCCCTTACGATAGGGGCTACAAATTAAATTTCTACAAACTGAAATGAATCAGTCCTTTAAGAAATATTTGTATAAATAAGTTGTTATATTTAGGTTAACACCTTAACTACTTATTACCCTATAAGGAGAAGTTAATTATAATAAATGGATTAAAGACAGAATCGTTTGGTGTTAATTGTGGGTCAGCTATCTTATGAATAGCTTAACTACAACAATATTGTCTCCATAATAGCACCATTGATCCCTTTGTATACCAGAGAGGGTAATCTCTTAGTTAATTGTGCAAAATACATAATGTCCTATATATGAATATGGCAAAGGTAATCGGATAAATTGTCCAATAAAATGCAAATTAAATGCGATGCGATGGTCGTAATTAATTGGAATCGAATCAAAAATACTCCTCTTTTGAATGATTTAGCGCTTACAATGATTACAGTTGTATACTATTAAAAAATATATAATATTAATTTTTTGTGAGGGTAGATAGCTTTGGATAGAGAATTAATGGGTTTTCGTTTTCGTAAGTTAATAATGAATTATATTTCACATCTTAAGTGTATTTCTTTCTAGCAGACGTGGTCGTAGAGGCATGGAAGGCGGAAGCGGTGTGGTGTACCGAGTGGTAGGCCGTAATCGCAGTAAGGCTGACTGCGGCCAACAAACCGAACGACAACCGCCAGCCCCAAGACAAGATACCACCTGGAAGAAATATACTGACTCCCCTGGTGTTGGAACTCCACCTTCGGTATAAATACTAACATTTTAATGTTAATACGTGATAATGAAATATGAAAAAAGTACACTCTTTCTTTTTTATTGTGACGTTACCATTAACGTTATTTGACCAACTAACTACATATAATAGATATAGAATATAAAGTAATAAATATAACTTTGAGATTATTTATGACACAACTCACAAATAAACGATATAATATTTATGTAAGATTATGATATACATGTGGAAATATTTTTTCGTTGAACACAGAACCAACCAACACCGGCACCACCAAGTCCATCTCATGGAAGGAAAGGCGAACGACGTGCTGGACACCATTCGCCACAACATCACAAGAGAGAAAAGCTCACTGCTGCCCAACAGTTGGGAATCGCACCACATCCTCAAGTAAATGTCCTTGTTTTAAGTACCATTGATGTACATATGTACATTTATAACTAGGACTGTTAAAAGCAATAACATTAATTACATATGTAATCAATTATAAATCCTATAGAAGGATTCATTAGTTAGAATGCATTTGCGTTTATTATTTTATATAATAAATATAAGTATAAAAGAAATTTTAATCGCGACTTATCCATTTCTAGTATCCAGCTCCAAGCCAATCAAGTCAACATTCGTCAAGAAGTGGAGGGTCCCAGGTAATAGAGAATTTTATATGATATCATTTATTTTGACAATATACATACACAATTTTCAATACACTTCAGCAAAGAGAGATATAACAGTACTGTTTAACAGCAAATTTAATGATGTTTACGATTTTTATCCTCATATTTACATTTAATTAAAATATAGACGTTAAAAATATGTGACAAACAAAATGAGGACTTTAAACATCGCAATTGTATTATTACAATTTACTAGTACACTAGTGTATCTGATGTTCGATGATAATTCACATATCTATAGTTACAGTCACCTAGTGGTTCATCGCGCCCATCCAGTGGGAATGGCAGTTGTTCCAACAAAGCAAAAGTCCCACAGAACTTTGGTTACGTCAAGAGACAGAACGGCCAGCCACCTCCACCACCTCCAAATGGACCTCCACAACATACACACGGTAATATTGAGTTTTAATATGAAAGTTAGAAAACAGTCAATTAACATGGAATGCATATAACTTGGCTTCAAGCAAGTTTGCGATAGGCTTATGTTAAATCTTAACACATTCATAGTAGTATAAAAACATGGTGGTTCTCCATTTAAGCGTATAATTTAGTATCGTATAAAATATAAATTTAGATGACCAGTTGTTCATACATTTCAGGTGGAAGAACAGCTCAAGTATCAGCAGTGCCCAGAACAAAAGTTAAAGTATCTGGCGGAACACAAACATGTACTCAAGACCTTCAAATACACAGTGAGTATCCTTAAACTTGATTAAATATTACTATTTGCCCATGAAAATTGTCAGTTTAAATAAATAATTGGTAAATAATATATGTATTAATAACTAAAAATAGACGCCTTAAAGTTTACGTTTATTTTACATTATGTTGCAAACAGAATGGAACAATATTTTTGCATAGTACCATAAGTATTAATAATGTTATGATTAATCACTATATAAAAAAAATTAGAAAATTGCTTTAATATAACAAATTAAGCTGAAGCAAATTTCAACTTACATTGTGCTAGAAGTCTTTGATTTGATAACTTAACGGAGTTGTTATTATTAAGTTATTAGTCCACTTTTAATGGAGGTATATAAATATTTTAACTTGCATTACACTTACACACTTTAAAGTAACTTTATGGAGTGGATATTAATGTCACAATAGTGTTTGTAACATAATAATTAGTTTGCTTATTAATGCCAAGTGTACGTTAACAAAGAATGGAAAAAAGTGGTTTAATAGAAAATCCATCAACATGCGGGTGTCATGTTAAAATTTGTTTTATCAAAACTGAATACAAATGATGCATTAAAGCCCGAAAATAAAATTATGAAATCTTTATAAAAGTTATAAATATAAAGGAAACCAAATCATTCGGATTACTTCACGCTATTTTATTATTTTTAAAACTACATACCTACTCCCGACGTTTCGGTTACTTTCCAGCTACTTTAATCACGAGCAGACGAGATGAGAATGTCTGACGTCGAAATGAAAACTCACGAAAGTCTTAGATCTCAGTTATAAATGTATTAATAATATTATTATAAAAAACTCCACAGAGAACGGCATAGGTCCGAAGTCCTTCTCACTGCAAGGAACAGCGGCTGCACAGCTATCTGCATCAGTTCGTGAGAGACTCCTCGGCTCACAGTCACTACCAAAGCCGGGGACACATGAATTCGCCGCCCTCTTCCATCATCACAGGTATGATATATATTATAATGCATGTACATGCCTTTATTTATAAATATGTATTTGTACCTATATATAATTGTGTTCCAGTATTTGTCGTCGGTATATATTATGTCTATATTGGTATCGAGGTAGCTAATAATACTCATTGTTCAAAATGCCTAAACAAAATACATTTTAACATTATTTACATAAATATATACATAAAACTATTAAATTAGCATTTATAAACTCTTAAATGAGTAATCTGAAAAGCCCTCATAAAGTTGAACATAAAATTTATCTTGGTAAATTTTGTGTTCAGTTTGAACCAAACTTTATACGCGTAATATTCATGACATCATCCTACAACAGCTGGGTTCTTTGCTATGAACAATGTCTCATTCAATTGTAAGACATCAATTAATTTATTTAAGAAATACTATATTTTCGAAGGATACAAGTTAGAGCAGGATAGCGTTAGTCTGAGCGAGAAAGCTAAAGATTATTCGTGACAGAGATGTATTCATTAATAAAATGATTTCTGTTTGTCTGTCTGTGATGTAGATGCAAAATAAGTAAGCACCAAAAATGTTATATAGTGCCGTTAAGAGTAAAATTCATTATCGATAAGTATATATGTAGTAATAATTACTGTTTTATAAAAATCGAGACGAAAAAGTAATTAGAATAAAATAGTAAGTATTATAAATATCAAATCAAAGTACACTAAAATAAATGAATCATTTTTATTGCAAGTTTATTTTTTTAGTCATTACTGTAATTTATATTTGTTAATACGTTCCTGAAACATTTTAATTGAACAGTATCATGCTTGTTTACCATTTCTCACAATGACACGTTAAATTATTTAATAGCTCGCCAGCTGAGACTGGTCATAACACTTATTTTGTTAGCAAACAGTTGTTATCTTACCTTCGGGGCTACATATTTGACAGGTTAGCAAATATACTTATCAGTAACGTTTGTGTGACATGTAAGTTCATGGGAATATGACTCAGTGTTAGTTTAAACTTCATGTAGATTGCTATAGTTCGTAATATTATAGGCCGTCACCGAGGGGAGGTATGAAGATCAGCGATGGCAGTCTCTCCGACACACAAACGTACTCCGAAGTGAAATCCGACTACGGCATACCGTACGCTCCATGGTTGAGACATAGGTAACTATCGCTTTGTTATTAGAATGTGAGTGTCCCCATATCATCAATACCCAAGTATCATGCTTCCGCATACCTTTCCGTCTTCCGAGCATGCTTCATACGTGTCGACCATTTCAGTAATACATACACAAGCGGAAGGCTGTCTGAAGGCGAGTCTATGGAGTCGTTAACGTCGCTGCACTCCGCGCAACACACACAATCCCCTAACTCACGCAGCTCACTCACACATAACAAGCTCATCATGCATCGAGACGCACAGAGTACGAGATTGAACAGGAGCAACAGCATCAGGTAACTAGTTAGGAACCTCCCTTTCATCGATCATTACTCTGTGCTTCAAGCTCTTCTCTACCAAATGTAGTTGTAAGTTATGTGATATGATATAATAAGTGTATTAATTTTTAGCTACCTCAGAGATAGGACGTTCCCAAGGTATGCCACAAGGTTGTCAATTATGTTATAGCTTGGTGGCACGCTTCATTTTCGATTATTCAGTTGCATGTTAAAACATGGCACGGCTTTTCATGATTTCAGAATTATAAATCTTTAAAAGCTGTTAATTTTCTTTCTTACCGCGTTACATTTGAATGTACATTTTATGTTTCTGATATGAAACACACCATAACTATCGATCATGCAGTCACATTTTTCATAATTTTTCGTTATGACCTCATCTTTTATGGCTATTATTGTTTGTATCATTTGCGATTAAAAAAAAGCATCATCAGTGACTTACATTCGTAACTGAAATACATTTTGAAATATGTTTCAAACTTTTCAGTTCACCGTCAAAATTTATACATTGAGTTGCAAATATTATTCGCAGTTTTGTGTATACCATATGTAAATCCTACTGTCTGATAGTATACATCAATACTTTGTTTGACTTCATCCTTATTGAAAAAGATAAAGTTAAATTCAATTATTATAGTCAATGTATAAATGTATATGGTCAGACATATCTTCAATAATGTTCAATACGTTATTGACTGTTTATATTATTTCAGGTCAACGAAGTCCGAGAAACTGTACCCGTCAATGCTTCAAAGGTCGTCTGAGAGTGACTATGAACCGTACTACTGTTTACCAGTTCAATATGGACCGAGTGGACAAGGTAATTAAGTTATTGATATATACGACCAAAAACATATTTAACATACATATATACTAAGAAAGTCATAGCTTTTACCTATGGTACTTTTTATAAAGGTACATTTCTGTAGATTTGAGAGGGATCTTAACACAGTACTGAAAATTATAAGTGTTTCTTGTTCAAGTCAGTTATATAGTCTTGTTTTCAAAGCTTACAGCTGTAGAATAAAACATAACTGTACACTCAGTAGATATCCTATAATAAAATGTACTCATTGTAATTTTCGAAATAATTAATTGATTTCAAAATTAAATTCTTTCTTTATTGATAAATACTTAAACAAAGAAATGTATATTTTCAGTGTGACACTTTCTAAGAATAAATTTGTCTTAGTTGATAAAATTGTTGTTTATTATCATATACATATGATAATTATAACTTGGTACATTCAGAACTAGTTTATTCTATCCCTATCGTTAATCACTTATGTATCTACATGTATGTATGTCCTCTTAAAATATTATAATATACGTCATACTCCAGGTATAAGTTACGGCGTGTCTGAGCCGCCTTCACCATCCCCGCGTTCAGCTCTGAGTCCAACACACGCGCCTGCCATCCACACGCCGAGACACTCGCACCATTATCCTAAGAAAAATGACGACGGTAACATTGCTCATATAAAAATCACATTAAAATGTGCTACGGTTTAGATTTGTGGACATCTATTGATGTTCTAATGCAACTTCGTTCTTCCACTCTTCTTCTCGCCGATTCTGTATCTCTCTTTTTCTGACTATATCTGTCTCTTTCCTCCTAATTATAAATTAAATGTTCTAAAGGACACTGAAACGATAACTGAGATTAAAATATAGGAAACCACCATACCTACAATTACTTTTAAGTAGAAAACCATAAGGTACTTAAATGGTCTGGAGTTACATAAGATGTATAGCTATGCTTTAAACAATTCCATAAGTCGTTTCATAAAGTCAAACAATAAATGCTAATATTTGTTTGAACCAAGATTGGATATATTTTATTATATAACATTTGTCATTTGTGTTTAACTTTTCCCTAATCCATTTCTGCACTTATATCTTTTTTGCATTTCATTTAAAATGTGGTTTGGATGAGAAAATGTGAATAATATAATATATGAATATTTATCTGTTCGTAATGGTTATCATGTCTAAAATGATACCAAAAAACCTGTTTGTCTTTCTCAATGCCCTTTGAATTGCTGAAGATTTTTTAATTATGGTTTTCTCAAATAACTAATAGTTGTGACAATTGAAACCTTCTGTAAAAGTTATTATAATATAAATATAAAGCGTGACTGCGAGTACAAGAGATTTTGTGCAATAAAATAAGGCGGTAAACAACCCTAGATATATGAAACTACTATACTAGTGGCAGAAAGACAATGTTAGAATAAAATGGTATTGCGATCAACTTCGGGAGTAGAGGCTAGTATTAAATATACATATTAATTATTCTTTCTCTTTTCCCTATATAGTTCACGGTTCAACGGCATCTCTGGTATCAACCGCGTCATCACTAGCGGCCGGTGCGGGATCAGACGAAAGACATAATCATGAGGTAAAATTATTATATGTATTATATGATATTAAAATATAATATTAACAATATTTTGTATAGAATAAAGTCATGACATTCGTATCTCAATCATTGGACATTGTTTATAAAACGTTAGCTAATTTACTTTTTTAAATTGCAACAAATTTTATTATTTTAAATTTTTTACGGCCGAAGTATTAACCCTTTGATTACTTTTTCTATTTGTCTTTGTTTTCTAACATAATTTAATACAAGGCTCTGTTTTACATTTAATTATAAAAAAACATACTTTTAATATTGTGAACTATGGTGCTTATACTATTACATTATTTTTTTTTAAATTAAATTAAATTTGTTAATTAAATTATTAACAAAATATATTAAGGAAAAAACATTTTTATTAAAAGAAAAAAAATTGTGTATATAAATTTCAATTCTTTGTTTTTGTAATAGGAATGTTTATATTCTGTAATAAGACTAATAGATATATGAAAATATATATATAATTTGACTCTTGGTTCTTTGTTGTTAGGTAAGTTGAATATAATTACACATTAAAATAGTAAATTAATTAATTATAAACACACGACATTTCAATGGTTTTATTAAAAATCTAATTTAGTAATAAGACATTTCAATCTGTGCGTTTCGTCTTTGGACAAGGGATAACAAATTTTACAAAAATAGTTATCCGAGTTTTCAAGACACCAGATAACTCGGGACCCAAATCCTATCTATAAAAATTAATTAAAAGTATATACGACTCACATATTGTCCGCTATATTGTTTACAAAGATATTAAATGCAATTGAGAACAAGTTGGTTACCTAAGATCAATCAAGAAAATAATAGATAAATCAGGTCAACTGTTGACTGCTCCTTGAATTTGTTGAAATGCTCATCTGTATGTATTTCCGACCAGTTATTTGATTTAAGACACAATTTAACTGGATGTATTATATGAAAATAATTTATTTAATATACATACAGAGACACATTTAAAGTTTTATTTTCAATCATTCTTTTTTATTTTTGTTGAAAGCGCCATCTCGCGTCAAGTTTGGTATTTAAGAAAAAACCTACTTCAACGACACTGGCTTTTTATTAAATAAAATTAAAGGATGTTATCATAATAATTTATTTCATTAAAATATGTAACTTATAAGTTTTAACCTGATTGTTTTAACAAGTTTATTTTAAAATCTACATACTTACACACAGAAAACAGTCGGTGTTAAGGTCTACCATACAAACTCGTACTTAGGGTTTTTAAATTTAACTGTAATAAGGTATTTTCTTTTTGCCATATACATTTGTAATTTTATTTTATTTCAAAATCGTTGTATTATTAGTGTTATAAATGAGAATATTTACTTTTACTGATGCCAACAAATATACTAAGCAGACTATAGTATTAACAATAATATTATTTATTATTGGTAACCACACAACGGTTGTTTATAAAAACATTTTAAAATTATAAAAGTGTATAAGTAGACGTGCTCTAAATGAGTGAAGTTGCGGTTAAAAACTGGTTATATACAAACCTTTTTAAACATACACATACGTGATTTAAGTCGTAAATATATTTACAAACACTATCTATTTCAAAGGTTCGAAAGTTACGGAGAGAGCTGGCCGACGCGAAGGAAAAGGTGCACACCCTGACGACGCAGCTGACCACCAATGTAAGTACTTTCTATTACTTATGACGCAGAATATCAGATAATTTTATAGACATGTTAATGGAATTAAAAATTCATATGAACTATATAACATTTTCACCTGTTCTATGTGAAAAAAAATTCAAGTTTCTAATTATATTGTATATAAGTTATTAGTGGATAAATAAGTTATTCATTAAAAACTGTTTGTAAAGAGTAATTGGTTTTTTGTTTGATATTTCTTTAAAGTTCGGTTACAAAATATCATTCAAGACAATCATTAACGAATGCATAACGAGCTCTCGTATATATTAAATCATCAAATATAACCTTCGTTTCAAGAGAGTCGTGCCTTAACAATGTTTCATAAATATACATTCACTTTCGTATGAAGAACAACGATAAGAATACAGTAAACAACGACACCTTATACGATAGATAATAAAATGAGTCGTCATGTTTATAATGAACGGCAGATGCGTTGTGTGTCAAACACATTATGTACGCTTCATACAAAGTTGCACTTTCAACCGTCTTAACTACGTTAGAAGCAATTAATTCTGGCTCTATCTAATAACGTCGTGTGTTAGCTAAATCACTGAGTTTCGCAAATAACGTTTTAAGCAGCTTCTGTATGAACTGTGAAAGAGCGACAAACATCAATCCTTATATACATTCGCTTTTACAACTATTTGGCTGTCATAAAAAGTGATTTATTGCTTAAATTTATTACCAATAACCTGTCCTATCGAATTTATATGACAATTTCTAATTAAGCGGCTCATATGTTATAAAGAAAACTAATCCTAAACTATATGATGTCTATAAATACTATATTAACAAAGTTTTCGATAAACGGAATTTCATCCTAACACCGATCGGGTGCGGAAGCACGGAATTCCAATTACATATAAAATTGATGAATTGTCACGAGATCAGATAATGGCTGTTCGAGTCTCACGGCCCTTTATGTCTGACGGTATGTGTGTCAAACGCTAACACTGTTTTCAACTGAAGGCGATCTAACTGTATTACGAACCTTGTGTATTTCCATTAAAATCAATGACAGTAAATAATACCACAGTAGTGATAGTTTACAAAACCGTATTTAAGATGCCGCGAATCTAATTCTTTGTCTTTGAAAAACAAAAGAAAATGCTTTAATGTTATGAAGAATATTTGACATGTGTTATATAAAAATATATAGTTTCACACTTCAGATAATCCATGTTGTTTTTATTTGTGCGATTCAGCAAAAACCTGATAGATAAAATAGAAACAAAAATAGTGTTCGAATATGTAGTCGTCATGAAGGTTTCATGTCCTAAGACATTCAACTCAACATTGGTATCCAAAGAGCAACCTAAAATTTAAATCGATAAAGTAAAATTAATCGAGATTCCGAGGTAAATACAATGTATTAAGTTGTTTTTGAGTATTTCATTCAGCAGTACCAGCTTCTTCATAGGATTTGAACAAATTTTGTACAACACAGATTAGACGACAAATTAACGGTTTCGGTTGATAATGCTATGAACAAAACTAAAGTCAGTATACATAGTTGAATGGAAGCCACTGTCATTTTTAAATTCGTTCATTAAAAAGTAAATATCGCATAAACAGAATACTGTTTAATAATAATTAAAAAATGCCTATTACATGTATAATTAACAATAATAAAGTTGTGGACCGTCTGTGTTTCTTGATATCTTACGTTACGATAAAACAAAATGCTTTTCCATATTCGGTAATCACATGCGACTACCGGGAGCTGATGCTTTCCTGAATTCCTTTATCGTTAGAGTGAATTTATTTTAATCTTATTTTGACCTTGGTATCTTTATTTGGCCATTTTAAATAACCAGAGTGAAATTGATAAGGAAAAACGAGTATTCTAAACAGAATACAACGCAACATGTAATTGATACATTTTATAATATATGTATAATATGTGTTGTAAATCATTTGATTATTATTAAAATATAGTCAATATTTTTAAATCTCTACAATTTATGCATGTTCTAACGGGATAAGTTAAGTATAGCTATTGGTTGAACTAAATCAAGTACCAAAAAAGTTGAAGGTAATAAAAATAAAACATTACGAACGTAGGTCGAGGTATAAATCAATCTCCTAACTACGACTCGTAAAAAGTGAGTCCCTTTGAACCCTTAAGTTTTTACCTCAATTCAAGATTTCTTAAGACTTGAGTTATACTTGTTACAAATAGGTACAATTACACTAAATGATTACTAAGTCGCTCTAGAACTATGATTGACGTTACTGCAATCCTAATGACGCAATTTTGATGTGAACCACTGCACTGGTACAATGTAACATGAATGTTTTACTGATTACGAAGTTTGTAAAGCTATAGAATATAAACTGATTATTAAGCTACCATTATTATTGATAAAAATAATATCCACGTTACTCCAAAACTATATATTAATACTACGCGTCATTTATTGAGATAAACTAAAATCGGTTGCGTTTTGTTTTCTCTATTGGCATATAAATTACGGATAATATATTCGATGAAGAGATCTATGTTTTGTAAAAAAGTATCTTACTCCCATATTTTATTCATGAATACTGTACCTAATAATATTCTTATTATTACTGTTATTTTAATTGATAATTAATTAATAGAATCCTTTAATAGTTAGCTAATGTGTGTCTTAATACATAATTAATTTGATTTATAAAAGCGGCCGCCTTCTTGGTTATTGCCTCTAATGTTCATCGTTCTCTCAATATCCTCTCATTTAAGAAACAAAGAAGTTCAGTTCACAATGAGATTCCATTCGTTTCTTCATCCACTTTTAAAAACACCATAAATAATTCAGACTGTGAAGTTGCGTCAATCTTTGTATTTATTTATTATATACATATTCCAACATATTGTCCTGGCAAATTGTTTGTATTTATTTATTTTGCTTTTGTTTTAACGACAACTTTTCTTAATTCTTTTCTTGTTTAACCTGTCTTTATTTTGTCATTTTGGTACAAATTTCGCTTTCAGATAATTTTGTATCCGTATTTAGTATTCCGTTACTGGATACTTTTTTGTCCGTTCCCCAGATTGGTCTCAATTTTAAATTGAAGTTACGATCAATTGGAATTCAATGACAATATAATTAAAATCGATATCACGGAGCTATTGAAAAACATATGTGTTAGTTTTATCAAAAATATATTCTAATAAGTATTGAGAAACAATGTACATACATGTCATACATTTTTATATACTATCTAAATTATTTGTCACAATTTTATCACACGCATAAAACACGATTTGCGTAATATAATTTACGTAATACATTTAACCAAAATAGTAGAAATTTGATAAAGTAGTATTATTTTTTTGGCAAAGAAAAGAATTTTGTTTTATTTACATGTTCAAAACTTTGTCAACGTTATCATTTAGGTGTGACTGGATAACGATTATTAGGTACATAACTTAAGTCTTAAATCTTAATTTTGTCACTACTTTCGGTTCTTATACAATGGTCTCTGATAAAGAAGCCAACAAAAATTAATTCAAACTTTAGTATCGCGATCAGTTGTTACCGCCTAATTAAAAAGACACTCGCGCTTATTTCCGCTTGTAAATTTTTAAACTCTACAGCATCCTATCCGCAAAAAATGTCTATACTTTTATCATTCAATACTTTTCTATACAGTCCTATTGAGTTGTGTTAACCGTAAAACTCTATTAGATATTGTTTACTTTTGTTGACAATAAATAACAACTAAGATAAAACCACTCAAAAGACCATTTGTTTTTTTTTTTATTTGAATGTCTTTCTTATATTTGAAAGAAATGTTCTGGCATCGTGTTTCAAACATCTAAAAAACTTATCAAACGTAACCCGATCGTGGCCTGTAATCATTAAAACTGGTCCGCACTTACGCAACAATGTGTTAGCGCGACAATTTTAAACTATCATCAATTGCTCATTTAAAAATATGAATAAATAATATCACATAACATAATGTAATTATTAAATAAAAATTGACTCCGTCTACTAAAGTCAAACGTTATAACAGCGAATAATATAAAAATATCTTCAACATTGTCCCCAAATCCTATATCATCGTTCCCCTTTTCAAAGGTTCAATAGATTGTAGAAATATGAATAGTGATCAGTCCGGGCTACACATGGTTCCGTGAGTAAATTTTATTCAGTACTTGTGTTTGTCCGAAGTAACCACAACCAGTTTGTTTTGAAACTCCGTCTGGGACGGACGCTTGCGCGTCGCTCCGTTCCGTGTGCGCGATTTTTCGGATTATAAAAACAATCTTGAACTTTTGACAGTGAGTTTAATTGTGATAAGTGTTACGTATTGGATATATAAAACGTGTTCCGTGTTCATTCATATATTTGGTACATGTTCTGTTTTAAACTAATACAAGGATCGTAACATGTTTGATTGGTGCTTGTTGTTTTGTTACCAAGACATTCGAGTCTTGATGTCTACATTGATTTAACAGATATCTTCTTTTATCTATTAAAAAAAAGAAAAACATTGATTATACATAATAATAGAAACTACTTTTACTGTCATTAATTTAGTAGTATATCTTATTGATATAATTACTTATATGATATTATGATAACGTGAAGTTAATACACTGAATTTTTTGTGTTGAACCATATCCCTAAACATTAAAAGCAGGTATTGGCTTCCCGTTTTTTTTGCTATTTACGGGTCCCCATTTAGTCAATTCTTAACCGCCCAGACTTATTCATTTATGTTTCATTCTCTAACATCCATTGTCCGTTTACCGGGTTTTTAAGAAAGTTTCCATTTGTCACATTTAGAATTGTGTTTCTATAATATTTAAATTAGCACTTCTAAATCGACTTTGACAAAATATTTAACACATGCCCCATGCAAATTTTTTCACGGACGACATGTTGAAATAAAAAAAAACATCAAAGTAACTGTTAATAGTTTTAACATTTTACTTTGAAATCAAAACCTTTTGATGTGTTTTATGGTAATATAAATGGAGTAATCAAGCGAGATTTTTTAAGACG